GTAGTAACACGGAGTCTGGAATTGTGCCCGGTAAATGGCAATAGGCCTTACATGGGAGTCATAACATAAATAGTGAAAAGTGGGTGTTACATTGTACAATGGCATTAAGTGTCGTAATGTACACCTCTGCCCACCCCTTCGGGAATAAAAGGCGTGATGATATGTTATGTTATGTAAACTAATTTTCCTTGTCCCTTCACCAAATACCTAAAGTTCAATTAGTTTAGTCAAATTACACATTTCGCCATAATATAGGGGAAAATAGAGTAATAAGGCTGCTAATATTTGATAAGTCCATACCTATATGTAGTTATAAAATAAAAAGACAAACGTTACGTCAAAGAAAACACGTCAGTGAGAATTACTATAGAGACGTCTACATGACTATGTATGAATTAGTCTTCAAATCAGTATGTTTAAACATAGCGTGCAAATGTAGGTTGTTGCTAAATTGGAGCATCGAGAAAAAAGGACACCTACCTACATGAATATTGAAATAACTGATCACGTCAATGGACACAATCTTTCAGGACATGTCATAACACTACCATTTAGTACGATTATTAATGATCTCGCTCGTAGGTAGTAGGTAATTTAGACTGGATCATCACAATTTTATAAAAATATCGATAAGTTATGACTACCGACGGCAAGTCTTTTTAATATTATCGTACATTTGGAAAACCAACATTCGCCCACTCGATCAAAATGAATGTGAATCAAAAGTCACCTAGCTAACTACGCATTAAAGTGCCATATGCGTTGAACCAACGTTCGAGACCTGACCCCCAGACAAAGTCACCTTCTGTAAACGGTGCACATTACGATATAATTACAGGTGAGGTTGAATATACCTTTAATTCAGTTCAGAGTTGTATTATCCCTAAACGAGGCAAGTGACTCCAGGGTACAGACAGGGGGGGCGCTACAACCCCGCGTGGAGCGCGTGCCCTTAGAGTGACGGCAGCGCCAAAAAAATAAAAAAATTGCTCTCCACGTTAAACCCGCCTCCGCTTTCAGTACATATGGACTCTTTGTAAAATCGATTAAAACACCTGTAAAATTTCTTTTGATAATGTTAAGCTAGATCCAACGAAATACGAATCGTGTCTGGCAGGTAGCAGTGTCGGAAATAGACGCCTTGACCTAGTCGACGGAGACCCCGCAGTGACCTGACGTGTACACTGTAATGGGTATGCGCTATAAACGCTTTAATCGAAAGTGTAGTGAAGCTAAGACTAAAAGAGCTTTTTGAGCCACTTAAAAAGGTGTCAACAAATAGAAATAGCGACTTAATAGCATAGTTTTAGGACTAAGGATTCTTTATTATTTAAGGTCGGTTGTTTATTACAGGGATTATGCAAATCTACCTTTTCTTAGTTAATCCTACTTTTATCCTCATTAACGAGCTCAAATCTCCGCATTATAGAGATTTTTACGCACGAAATTCGTGATCGTGTGCTCGCTGGAACAAACACTGCTATCTAATATTTGCAATTCTGTTCAACTCTGTAAACTTTGTGCTAGCGGCGCGGCGGTAACAGACGCGAATAGTTATCGTATTATCGTTTAAGTTGTTATATGTACAATGGGTCCAAAACTAGTATTGCCGCATTTAAGGCTAGTTCACACTCCCTTAGAATGCCCTTGATCTAGTTACACAGTTGCATTCGTCCCCTCTCGCCTGACTACGCCCTAAGGTCAGATGGTAGATTGTTTAAAATAGTTTTAAATACCTGTACCCACCGACTTATGTAGATACTAGGTATCTAATTAATTTGGTATTAAAGAACTTTAACTTAAACCTTTGACTAGTATTAGTATTAGAATTAAACGTTTTTAAGTGATTGATAAGCAATATTTTTTTATGTAGGTATTAGCTCTATTAACTGACGCGTATTATAGTCTATACAGGGTGACTTCTAACTCGACGAATTCCTCTCGGGAGGTGATAATCTAATTTCCTACAAAATTAGCCTTGAGGTCCCGGGTCTGAAAGTGGCTAGTTTCTGAGATATTCAACATCGGTTTTGGTGAAAAAATCCGGATTTAACTACAAAAACATCTATAAATAATAAACTACAGGTTTGATTAAAGTGATTTTACTTAAACCTTTATTTAATATTAATACTTTCAGAAATATCATTTGTTCTAAAATAGCAAGTAAGTAAATTAGTATCAAACTTTGTTTTTGACTCACTAATTTGGTCAATAGAAAACTGAATTTATTTAAGAAAAAAATATGTTACACTAAGCATACAAAGTATTAAAAATACTTTCTTGGTTTCTTAGCTACCCAAAAACATTAAATTATTTATAAAACTCTGAAAAATAAATTAATAACCTAGATGATTAATAAATTAAGTAGAGTGTAAAGGAAAACGGGCAATTTCAAAAAATCATTATTTATAAAATTTTGTTCAAAGTAACCTTCCCTATCATAAATACATTCAAGCACATGCTTTCTAATCTCTGTGACGGTCACTCTTGAACTGAATGAGCGTCTTATTTCTACAGCAGCTGTATATGTGGTATTAAGTAGGTATGTGATATTGCATTATTAAAATCAAAAGATGATCGTTTTAATTTGGAGTAGGAGCCATTATTATTCTAAATTCTAATAAGGTGATTCTAGGTTACACTTATCATACATATACAGCACCTATATATGTGGTATATGCAAAAACTATATTTATTCATAAGATTGCAATACAATTTATGTAATCTAATCTAGAAAGTCACAAGGGCACACCCTATAAAAAATCTTTGCATTGTTATCCACAATTAATTGTATGGTTTGTCTAAGATTAAATTTTTATTTAAAAAAAATGTTGCCCCACACTACGATTTTCTCTTGTGTTGTGGGTACGTTTAAAAACAGCCACCACACCAACCATGCAGTCAAAGGTCTAATGCAGTCAGAGGTGCAATTCGAGGTCAAATTGAATAGTTAGAGGAAATTATGATTTTGTTATTATAATATTTTCCTATAAAAAATACCTAAGTAATTTAATAACACAACTGTTCTGCTATAAATCAAAATAAATAAAAGTAAGAACAATTTTCATGTAAGTATTATATGAAATAGATATATTTCAATGTGTGATGGATGTTTAATTATTGAGTAAATCAGATAAATTAATAAAAAACCGGGAGAATGTATGTTTTACGGAACATTTATTCTAAAAGATTCTTTTATCAGAAGATTTCACAGTAGGAGTGAATTCATAAAAAATAAGTGACCCAATTTCTCATTGAATAAAATGGATAAAATAAAAAAGACATTGAGACTGAGAGAGACCGTCATATACATAGAACACCTCCTATTCAACTAAGAGATCCTTTATCAGATGACAAAGTTACATAATTCAGTAAAAGTAATTTTAAAAAAGCATGTAAACAAATGCCAAAATAATCTAGATATATTAACATTGCACTAACTTTGTTAAAAGACTATCAACTCAAACATAGAAGCCAGTTATGACTTCATAAATTGTTATCTGTTTTATAGATTCACTGTTACATCACAGTATTTTATCAGTAACAAGCTTGCTTCTCTTTAAATCTTATTACTCAAAGATAAAATACATTCTAATTAAGAATTATGCAGATAAAACTAATAATTCATACTTTATTATTACAACCTATCAATAGTTCCATGCCAGTTTGTAACAAAAACAAATGTGACCTATTTATTTAAGGAAAAAAAAATTGGAGAAACAATTTAAAATACTTTAGAACCTCAGATAAAGAACCTCTATTGTAAACAGATAAATGCAGTATCAGCAATGTGTAACCTTATACTTCATCCACTTCAATTTTAAAGACTGCCCAAAATACTCAACTATGATAATAATCTTGCAAAACAACTTTTAATCCGTTTCTTATGTTATTAAAGACTATTCAATCATCTAGCATTATGAAGTAGGCACCCACAACTCACACTAATGTATGAAACAAGACAAATGTGTATTTGTAAATATTACAAATGTTTGTCAAAACTTTCAGATCAATCTCAGTCCACTGCTGCATTAGAAGATGAAACATTTAAGTAATTTGCATATCATTTGCAAATATATTTCTCTAGTCTACATAAACCAGTATAATAAATAGAATAAAATATGCCATTCCAATTTCCAGTGGGAGGGAGGCGAGTAGGTGTAATAAAAATCAATACTGTTGTTTCATTGATTTCTGGTATCTCAAACATTCATGAGTGCAGACAATTTCGTTATGTTGTATGTCATCGATACTCTGGCCAGCTCGTAAGTGTCATTATATGAATACTACCAACTTTCCCTATCGCTGGCATACAAATTCCACGTTCGTCGGAAATCACACGATCGTGTAGATCAAAACATTGTCGACAAGAATGGTAACGGTACGTTTCAAACACTATCCTTTCACGCATGTTAACATATGGCCGTGGTAACACAAACGTATCGATTACTCCAATTAATGCACTCGCGCTCACATTTTAAGACCTCAGAGAATGACCTTGAATTACCCAAATTAAAATTGTGACGAAAGCCTCATACGTAGCGAGATGTCGATTGATTTTTCTGTGCCACAATTTTAGCTAAACTCGTAATTGAAACGTACGAATTTATCATCTTTCCATATTTCAACACTGTAATCACATTTCGACACTCACCTTGCGTAACAAGGCAGATATCAGGTCACTGCACCCAAGGGTTTCCATAATTTATAACACACAAAATCACACACGATATCATTTTCGTCAAAATGCACAAACAAAAAAAACCAACGTGACGAGAGGAAGCGCATCGTTCAAGCTTCAAATTTATACTGACAGCCATGCTGCTGATGAGTCCGACTTTATTGTGGACTTGTGCGCTGATTGGTGGAAAATATGGTGATAAAAAATACTAATTGCGCCGCTCCACCAATCGCCTGCAAGGATTTGAAAAATTCTTGATAGTTTGCCAAAAATAAAGTGATAAACATTATTGATATTGCACCTTATTTTTTATAGTTATTATTTTTTAATCTTATCACGGGTGGACATGAATTTAAGAGTGTAGTTCAGTTACTCAGTTACCTTTAGGAAATGAACATGAAAAACGCTGTTACCAGTCTTCAGGTTATTCAGCATATTAAAAACCAAGTGATGATTTGATGATTATATTAGCTCCTGAAAATCACGCATTTTAAATAACAAAAAAAAACCCTACGTAGATCGGAATTTCATTTCTTGAATTCTTGATAATGTCACTCGGATCGGACACTCGTGTCACTGTCACTTTTATAGGTTATGTTGTGTTTTGGTGCAATATCATACAGGTTTAGTCCCCTATCGTATATTGAATATAAATATTCTCAATAAATAATGGGGAAACGGAAAAATAAAGACGCTAAAAAGAAAGTTAACTTAGTTTTTGATGAATCTAAGAGAAAGTAAGATATTTTTTAATCATCTTTTTATTATAGTTCGTCGCCCCTCATGATTTACACATTTTTTTTTTAAATTCCAGAGAATTCCTATGTGGGTTTCGCAAAAGGAAGTTAGAAAGAAAAAAGAAGGCACAGGAGGAATTGAAACAACTTCTAAAACAAGAAAAGAAACGGATAAAACAAGAGGTATGAAAATGCACGTGTGGTGTAACTGCACTTAGTAGTGGTGTTCTTATGAGTGATTGATCACTGCCATAACGGCAGTGATCAAATAATGTTTAGGTAAGGTTACTTAAACTGTCAAACACCAAGCGGTCACCAGTGACCGCAACCTATTGATACCCATGTCAGACTTAAGATATTTGTTTTCTCTTGGTTTTGTTTTTTTTTTCTATTTTAGTATGTTCTGTTATTTGTATGTTGCGTCAGGTATGTCTTTACATTATTCTCACATGTGTGTACAATATTGGAATATGTATCAGAGCAATGTAAAACAGACTTTTTTTTAAAAAGAGTAACGAATGGAGTTTCTTGCTCGTTCTTCTCCACTCGAATCGACATTTTGGAACGAGTGTCTAGCTTCACTGACGGACAGACTGACAGACTATTATATGTATATCTCATATTTGTTGACGTTTCAAAAGTACCAAATTATGGTCTAATTGAAATAAATGCTTTTGAGTTTGAGTTTGAGTTTATTGTTCTATAATTGTGTCTACAAAACCGGTACTCGACGAGTTAAGGCTGCTTTAATTTACTTTCAACTACTTTTCAGAATAAAGAATCGTACAAAAAGCTGGTAGTGTCAAGCCGACCTATTCCAGACATAGAGCAACTTCTACAAGAAGAATATGAAGACGAGGATGTTAACGTTAAAATAGTGGAACTCTCAGCAGATACTTTGCAGAAGAAGGACTTAGTAATAGGTGAAAATAAACCAAAAGAAAAAGTACAGACACCTAAGGATAAAAATAAAAACAAAGATGCAGAAAGAGCAGCAGTGGTTCCTGGCATGGGTTCAGATGAAGAAAGTATGGAGGAGGAAACGGAAGGTGAGGAAGATGAAGATAATAAAATAAAAACAAAGAAAGAAATAAAAAGCATGTTGAAGAAACAGGCAACTAAGAAAATACAGAAAAGTAAAGTATTCCAAATGAAAAGCAAACTAGATAGAATTCAGAATAAAAAGAAGTCATTACAAAAGAAAGGACATATGAGAGGAAAAGCTGATTCAAAGAAAGGTCATGGAAAGTCTAAGGATAACCCGAGAAAAGATAAATCAAAGAAAAAAGTTGGTAGGAGAAAACATTGATTTATTTTATAACAAAATTATTGATTAACAGAACAGTTTAAATATAATGAGGTAAATTCACATATTTATGGCTTGATTCTTCAAACTTATTCTATGATTGTTTTACTTTATTAATATTTGAGTTAAAATCAAACTGGCATTGCATTTAAAACAATACAAAACACCTTTGTATGAAACTAAGGCACTTACATTACCCACTATATAACAATAAACAGCCAACTTGCATTGTAAAAACTAAATAAAACATTATCCTTTGAATTGTTTGTTTTTATTATGAAACTGCTTTATTTCTTGCAGACTTTCGTGTCCCTTCTGCCTTGTTTCTAGTGTTTTTAGTTCTAGTTGTCAATTCTTGCAACACAATATTTTCATCACTATTATTCTGTACAATAGTTTCACCGTCTCCATCACTATTTTTATTTGTTGATAGTGTTTTCTTTTGTGGAGTTTTTTTCTTCTGAGGAGCAATTTGAGCTGTCAGCTTATCATTTTTAACTTCAACACCATCTATTTTTGTTTTTTTAGGAGTTCCTTTTTTCTTAGGTGCTGCTTTCACTACCACATTGGATGTTTCTTCAAAATCATGCATATTATCTGTATTAACTTGATCTGCCTTTTTTGGTGTTACCTTCCTCTTTCGAGGTGACTTTTTCTCATTTTCATTTTTAATATTTAAGTTTTCTTTCTTTGCCTCTGATTTTACCGTTTCATCATTTAACTCCTTTCTTGGAGTGACTTTTCTACTTTTGGGTGGTTTAACTTCAAATTCATCATCTGAATTTTCACTTTTGGCTTCCTTCTTCACTGGGGTTTTCTTGGGTGACTTTCTACCCAAATTACTTGATGGACATATGTCTCTATTCAAGCACTCGTGACACATGGGACCTATGGGCAGGCAGATAGTTTGACCAAATCCTACCAAAAGATGATTAACTTCGCTCCAAAGATCAAAGGGTAACCAAGTTTGTAAGGCTTTCCGAGTTTCTTCTGGTGTAGTAGTTGGCTTCTTTACCCAGCCTATTCTGTTGCTTATTCGATGAACATGAGTGTCAACACCTGTAGAGAACAATGAGCATATCGTGAAAAGTGTATACATTTTCTTGATTACTTTCATTGAGTCTGAAGACTGAACTTACCAATCCCAGTGACTTTATCCCAAGCTACAAGCATGCAGATGTGTGCCATCTTAGGTCCAACACCAGTTAGCTTGCACAACTTCTCTACAGAGTCTGGTATGTCTCCATTATACTGTTCTTTTAAAGTTTGTGTTGTTTTCTTGATGTACTTAACTTTTGTCTGCAATGTTATAAAAAATGTTCAGAAACCTGCACAGTGCACATCAAGCTATCACAATCTCATTTAATATAATTGAAACTAGGATTTTATATAAGTCGAAAATCTAATGAAGAAATCTACACAGTCAATTTTATAGTGGAAATACAATTAACTTGTCGAGTACCGTATTTATAGACACAATTAAAAAACAATAGGTTGCGGTCACCGGTGACCGCTTGGTGTTTGACAGTTTAATTATGTAAAGTGAAATGTATATCAATATGATATATAGCTGCCCAAGTCTTCTCTACATAATAACAGTTGAAGGCTAATAAATTGGTCTTTGCGATATTGAGTCAACTCGTCAAGTACTGTCATTATAAACACAATTATCGAACAATAGGTTGCAGTCACCGGTGACTGCTTGGTGTTTGACAGTTTGAATACATGTTCAAAAGCAAATTTTCATTCGTCATAATGTAGACATTTAACAATATCACAAAAAAATGTCGCTTAGATCAATTAGCCTTTCAATCATCAATATGTTACAACAAATACATTGTGATCTCACCTTCCAAAAGCCTACAGGATAAATCAGCTTGCCCAGTTCATCATCACTCATTTGTAATACTTTGTCTACAGTTAGCCCTCTGGCTCTGAGACGCTCCATAGCTGCAAATGTTACTTGGTCCTTTGTCTGACTGGACAGCATCAGTGATATCAGACATTGATATCTGTATACCTAAAAATATAGAGATATTATTGTTTTCTTTCATTTATGGTACTTACAAAACTAATAAAAATAACGTAGTTGTATTAACTATGATGTAACTTGACAATAATAATTATGTAGAATACATTTTTGCATTACAAACACGGTAAGTGTATAAAATTTATTTTTATATGACAAAATTATTAAACAGAAGATGATTTTAAGACATTAACACACCTCAGGAGCAGCTTTTTGGTCTCCACTTAAGTGGCAGCCCATGGTATCAACCGGAGCATCATTGTTGGATCTCATATTCCTCAAGTTCACCAGGAACTCTTTCCAATGAGGTGGCTCCCATAAACCCTTTGCTTCCTACAAAAATATGTTGCAAATATCATTTATGGATTAATGGTGTTGGTTTATTTTTAATAAAATGTTTATTTACTTCTTTCTCAGCTTTCTCAGGTGAATCCTTCTCATATTCGATTTTAACGTGTGGTTTCTTCTGAAATTTAAATTGACTCAAGTCTATTTTATTGGGACTCAGTGCGACTTCTTGTGGTTCTGGTGCTTCAATCTTTATTTTTATATTTTCTGTTTTGATAGTTTCATTTATTTCTGCTTCTTGAGGCTTATTGCTCGTATTTTTAAAACGAACATTTGCCGCTGCTGTTGTTAGTGCTTTACCGCGCGGCATTTTTAGTGCAAAAGTGATTAATTTGAAAATATCGGTAAATTTAAATAGATGAGTATTTTAAAAAATTGCACACAATGCAAACTGCATAAAAGTTTTATGTTATTTTACGAAGAACACATCAACACAGTTGCTGAGACCGAGTAGTTTGATTCAATGTTGTCAAAATTTTTGAACAGATTCTGATTGATTGACTTATTTATCTTTGTGTTGTTTGATTTGTCTGGTGAAACTGTTTTTATTCCAAAGATTAGATGCAAATTGCAAAAAAATGTGTTTTGAACGTAGTCTGAATAGAAAGTAGAAATCCATAGACCCATAATGTTTTGACACTTTGACGGTCAAGATGCTGTGAAGTCAATTAATCAAAGTCAAAAATTGACAGTCCACGCGTTATCTATTTGACATATCCATAGTTTGACATCTATCAAACTTTTATAAAAATGTCATATCATTGAAGAGCCGTCAATGCAATTTATTACAGCTCTGAATCGTATTAATTGTAATTTTCCTCAGATATTTTAAATTCTTGAGAGATACGTATTGTAATTTAAAGTTTATAATAATGGCGGAACTACTCTTAGATCCAAAAATTAGATTATGGGTGTTCCTTCCCATCGTTATTATCACTTTTTTGGTTGGTATTGTAAGGCACTATGTTTCTATCATTCTATCCTCCCAGAAGAAAATTGAGCTTCTCCAGGTCCAGGACAGGTATATTATGACCTTGTACTATAAGTCTGCATTTATTGGAATGTACCAGTAATCAGTATAGAGTTGCATTAGTAATTAAATAACCTCAAGTGTAAATCTCATTCGATTCCATGAATGTTTCAGTTTGTTAATTTTCAATTTCCGATTACTTCATTAGAGTTAGTAAATGTTGTATATTAGTCTCGTTGAAATCTGTATTTCTAGTAGACTTAGCACACTAGTAGCAAACATTTAAAATGTTTGATCTAATAATTTTTCTTTTATTATAGTCAAGTAATGATTCGTGCTCGTTTGCTGCGTGAGAACGGGAAGTATATCCCACGGCAGTCGTTTGCGATGCGCCGTCACTGGTTCAACAATGAAGAGACTGGATACTTCAAGGTTCAGAAGAGAGCTGCCACTTCTCAGGTAAAGGAAAATGGATAAATAAACCATTTATTTCATGTTTATTTACCGTTGATAACTTGTAGACACTAATTGTGAAACAAGTATTTATATTTAAGATATAATAAGTAAACATTTTTCTTAGAACAAAAGTTTTCAATTTCAGAATTCATTATTGTAAACTATCCTTGAATGGGTGATTTATCGATCTGTTATAAATCATAAACATACATTTCACATTCACCAAAGTAATAAAATCCAATGTTACCTGTAGTCTACTTTGTAAGAATAAATAGATCTATATTCCTTTCAGAATCCCATGACTGACCCTGGCATGATGACTGACATGCTGAAAGGCAATGTGACCAATGTGTTGCCTATGATTGTCATTGGAGGCTGGATCAACTGGATGTTCAGTGGTTTCCTTACCAGTAAGTTGTACCTTTCTGTTTCATTTTACTACTAGCTTACACAACAAACTTAATACTGCCTAAAAATTTTTTTCTTACCTTTTAAAACTTTTCTGGGCTTTCACAAACATTTCAAGGTTAAAATTAGCCAAAATGGTTCAGATGCCCTCAAGTTTTAGCGAGACTAACAAACAATTTCATTTTCATTTATATAAAAATGTTATCTGTTCCTCTTTACTGTCAGCATAGGAACAAACATAGGAAAGTGTCCCAGAACCATTGTTCAAGTAAACAAACCATGATATAATTTCATACCAGTCATGGTAAAACATTTCATACTTAGTTGACTTTGTATTCAATTTGTGTATAAAATTGCAAGTACAATTAATAAAATGAATAAAGATAACTTGGTAAAGCTCACAAATATCTATTTTCTATTTCACAGCCAAGGTACCCTTCCCCCTGACACTTCGTTTCAAGCCAATGTTGCAGCGGGGAGTAGAACTGGCCTATTTGGATGCATCATGGGTATCCTCTGCTTCATGGTACTTCCTCAATGTCTTTGGTTTACGCACCATCTACGCTTTAGTTTTAGGAGAGAATAATGGTAAGAACATTACATACAGTCACATAAATATATTAAGCTTTACAATGAAATGTCGTGTTTTTTCACTTACTACCAATATTGACTTTAAACTTGTGTGCCCACAGCTGCAGACCAGTCTAAAATAATGCAAGAACAAATGTCTGGTGCTGCTATGGCGATGCCTCAAGACCCGAAAGCCGCATTCAAAGCCGAATGGGAAGCTCTAGAGATCACAGAGCACCGGTGGGCAGTTGCTACCGCAGAACTAGATGTACTCAGTATATTGGATGACCATCAACATGAACCACAACAATAAATTAGTATAATTATTTATACAATATGATCATAATCTATATTAGAATAATTTATAGTTATCTATAAGATAAGGTGTGTGCATATTTGGTGTTAATGGAATAAATGACTTCTTGTTATTGACCATTTTGATCCTATTTATTTAAGTTGATTTTAAAGTCACGCAGACCGTCGGCGCTGACAGCCGAGATGTTTGAACTTCCAGGAACCGTGCGCACTGATTGTTACGCGTCAGTCAAAAACGCTTTCTTAAAGTTCATATATTTCAGTCATCAACGCTGAGGGTGTGCGTGTCATCAGCGTCACACAAAAATCAGCCTTAGAAAACTGTTCACCCAATCACCTTGTTTAAGTTATGTAAAAATAATAATAAACAACATTGCATTTAGAAAACTTATTTATTTCAATGCAAAAGTATATTGAGTATATACAATATGACCTTTTCCTATACAAACACATTACATAACAACATAATTCTTATTGCTTTCTTTGCTGTTGATGGCTTTATCATTTCTGGCATTACTACTAAATCAGTTACTAAGAAATAAGTCAATGATAATTCTGATGCATATACAGTCTATACAAGATGGACAATTCCTTTCAATGATGTACAACATATTTTGTATAGTATTGTACTTGCATCAACTATCAAGTTCCACCAGGGTCTTGAAGATAGAACGCATCATAAAACATAAGGATCACTTTAACCAGCTTATCACAATACACAATCATGGGTTCTAACTTTTAATGTTTTGCATTAGTCAATATAAATAATGAAGTTTAGAATTGATTTGGAAGGAATATCTACCTATTTCATGGTTATTTTATAATACGAAATGTGATCTATTTATAGTAGTAGTAGTAAAGATTTGGATATATTTCTATATATGTAACACATACATATGCATTTGTAATTATATGGAACCAACAACTTCATATAACATTCTCAGTCATTATAACATGTTCCAGTAATAAAATAGTTTTCTATAAAACGGTTCCATTCAGTAGAATTATCAAACATAACTAAAAATTAGCTATTTTCGTACACAGTATAGAATTACATAGTTTTTAAATATGCTCAAATGTCAAGCGTTGCACATTGGTACAATAAGAAATTACGCCAATCATAGTCTCCTCATAGTTGCTTTTTATAATCACTAAGTTCTAAATTCATAGTCCTTCCAATAGACTAAATATCTTGCAAACAAGCTACATTATAATGACGACAACATTTTCACGATCTTTCGTTTGTTAGATATGAATTGCATAACGAGACAAACAGATATTCCCTTCTACATAACACTTCAGAATAACCAATGTGCACTGCTTAAAATACAGTCCGAATTTCAAGCAATCGACGTCTATGCGAAAGATCATCGAGTAATAGTGAAACAAGCCGTTGCTACTTCTTGATGAGTTGTACAACGTCCTCGTCCTGCACTGTGTGGCCGAGTCCCACTCTCTGCGGGGAGTATTTGGTGCTGGTGCCCCAAACTAAGGCATACTTCAGTGCCGCTGCCAACGTGCGGTGAATAGAGTGGCAAACGTGCTCTATTGTTACTCCCTGGAAGAGAGGAAAATTTATAAGTTGTTCATCACGCCTTTTATCCCCAAAGGAATAAACAGAGGTGCACATTACGGCACTTAATGCCACTGTACAATGTAACACCCACTTTCCACTATTTATGTTATAAGTTCCATGTCATAGGGGCCTATTACCATATACCGGACAAGTTTCCAGACTCCGTGCTTTTTTAAAAAACCCAGTAATACTTTTTTCGACCCGGGAATCGAACCAGAGACCCCTTGCCCGGCAGTCGCACTTGCGACTATTCAGCCAATGAGGGAATCGTAGTTGTAGTTATTTCTTTTGCTTATTGATAAATCAACTTGGTTATATGATAAATATAAAATGAAAATATCATATTATACAATACCTTTCTCAAAATGAGACCATCTTCAAAATCTGGGGGCTGACCTGGCTTCTTAGTATAAACCCTGATAAGGGACAGGTACTCCCAGAGGGTTTCCAATAGAAAGTCTAAGTTCAGCTTCATGTTACAACTGAAACATAAATAAATTAATATCTAGTTACACTTTATTACACAAAACAGATTGAATAGCAGTCAATCTGGTCCTATGGTAGCAAAAATGTATATATATTTATTAAATCTTAGTAAAAATTTATTCTGTTTTAGTTGAGATATATGTTTCAGGAAAAATATGAAGCAGGAAGATCAAAATAGGTTCCTCACCTAACAACAACGGAGTGTGGTTGTCTGGCTATTCTATCCACCTCTTGGATGGAGATCTGATCGATCTTGTTGTACACATACAGGCAAGGCAGGTACACTCGGTTCGCGAGGATCACGTCGATCAGGTCATCTGCAGTCGCATCTTCACGGAATAGTACCTGGAGCATTAGAAATAAAAGTTAGAAGAAATATTTTTATTGTTTTATTATACCTCATTTTATTTCAGTTTCAGTTAATAATTATGATTGCTATATTACAAACCTCAGCATTAAATATCTTGTATTCATGTAGAATCATTTGCACCATTTTCTCGTCAACCTTGGTAAGCTGGCATGTTGAGTTGAATGACAGACCACCACCTTTCTTCACCTAGAGTGACATACAAAAAATATTAGAAAGCACTAACATGAATGGATGTAAGAAAAACCAGAACAATATTGTGTATTATGTTCTCATTAATTGATTCTCAGTTGATACATGATTTAGTTATTTGCTGTAAATTACTTTGAAATAGATGTTAGGTTTAGGCTTGTTCAGCCTGATGCCGACACTCTCTAACTCTTTCTCCAGCAGCTGTCTGTGCACATAGGGCTTTGTAGCATCCAGCATCATTAGCACCAAGTCTGCTGTCCTTGCTACAGCTATCACCTAAAATTAACAAGATACATATATTTAATTCCGATGCATAATTTATTTTTGTAACTTTGTAAAAAATTGGTAACAAAAATGGGATGATGACATAAATATAAAATAAAAGACAAAAATCTATTATACTAAAGTAATAATAAGGTTTACCTGTCGTCCTCTACCCTTGCCCTGGGCAGCACCTTCAATGATACCAGGCAGATCAAGCAACTGGATGTTGGCGCCGCGGTACTCTATCACACCGGGGATGCATGTCAGCGTGGTAAACTCGTAGCTGGCTGCTTCCGAATGTGTGTGGGTCAAAGTTGATAGAAGAGTGGACTGGAAAATAAAACAAATGATTTATATAAATTAAACAAAGCTATGTTGCAATATTTCATCAATACTATGCTTTGTTTACATTAAAACTTTCATCAGACATACTAAATTTACTATGTATTATATTATAATAATTAATACTACACTTTCTTTTTAATAAACAGATTGATTATTATTCAAATAATTTTACATAAATATCACACTAGTGCTTACTCAATGCACTGTTTAGTGTCATACAAATATATATTCTTAAATTCAATTCATTAAAAGTTCCATTATTTAGTTATTTCAAAACAAGGTAAAAATGAATAAGCAGGATAACAAAATTAAGTAAATATGAAATAATTTCAATGGTTTATTCTTACCTTACCCACTGAGGGGAAACCAATAAGGGCGACTCTGGCATCTCCAGACTTCAGCACATCAAACCCTTCACCCTTATCACCTCCTTTCTTAGACGGCTCTAGGAGTTGGGACCGGTATTTGGCTAACTTGGCCTTCAATAACCCCAAGTGATATTCGGTAGCTGTGGAATTAATTTTTGATTAGAATTTACAAACAACTTTGGCCAATGTCTTGCCAAAAATTGCATGGCATTATTTGGCTAACTATCAGCTATTTAAATAACTAAGTAGTAATAAATCTCATTGCAACACATAAGTAGTTGTAACAGAAAAACAGTTATCCCAAATAACAATATTTGATTGATTAACTCCATTAGAACAATTATATTAAGATTATTTCATAATCAATGTTTCTAATATCGAAAAACAATTAATGCAGTGACCAAGGATTCTAATGCACTGAGGCAGTAAACAAATCGAGATTTAAGCCAACCATTTAAAAATGGTAATTATACCACTCTAAATACATTTACCACAAAAATAATCATAAGCCTATAATGAGTTAATTGTTCATAAATTAACATTCAACAAAGTAGATCAGTTACCAGGCTGCCAGTTCACTTTGTTTGTAAATAAGCATGGTTAACATACAATATCCTTTGTTCAGTACTGTTTTAGCCGGCAAAAAATAAGGAACCGTTGCATATGGGTAAATATACACTTAAAAACGCAAGACTTCTTTATAATCTGGAACTTCTTTATCACATCATCAACTTCTAGACTTCAATACTAATAATGATAATATGGTAGGTGTAATTTTTTTATATTACAAGTAATTTGCAATCGCAGACTTAGAGCACTCATATTTAAATATACTTTACCTTTATTCTTCTGTGTTCTTGCAATTTCTTTTTCGATTTCAGATATTTTCTCTAAAATACCCATGGTAAACCACTCACTTTTGACAACGACAACAAAAGTCTAACACGTAACCAATGAATAATGTACGTTTTTCTAATCAAGAACAACAAATATCTATAGAATAATGAACATTTCGCACTAATAACTGAATATTACAAGTAGATTGTAATTTATAAAGTTTCTACAATACATCAAAGGCCACAACGATCTAAGGTTAGGTTAGTCGCGTTCCAGCGACAAATTAAAAATTGTCAAGTCAAGAGAAAAAAAAGAAAAGCAAACTGCAAACGTTCTGTCGATGGTCCTTACTCTATTTTCTCTTTGATTAATAAAATACACGAAGAAATTCAAGTGATTCGTTTGTGACTTTATAAAGCTGTTTTTCTTTATTATATTATTAAAACTTTTTGTGAATTAAAATCTTATAATGTATTTTTTTGTTGTTTGACATCTTAGTAATATTATAACTAGGTATCTACAAAAAAGCCAACTAGAAGATCCATGCAGTATAATCTACCGAACGAAACCAACGTGAAAACAAATTATTCTACAAAATGATATCAAATAATTTAGTTCTTTGCATATTTATAATAAATGGGTAATTATTTTGGTAATAATTAATTAACATCAAAAATATTGTGGTAGGAATAGGGTGACAATAATATGGGTAGTGGGTTAGCACTTTTTGCAAAACTATTTTTTCTATTGAGTAATTAGGTCTACAAGTAAATTGTTTCGGCTGTTCACAAACATTTTGTCGAATTTGGATTAACTATTTTTAAAGAATTAATTAAAGCCCTGAACGTCTACCCACTACCAATAAAAACCCTAAAACAAAGTGACGTGATAAGTAGCAATCTCTTACAAAATTCTAGTAGATAAATATAATTTTTGACATTTCGTTAAAAGTATTGAATTTGACTACCCACCTAAAAAATTTTGCTTTTAGCCATTACTTGAAGGAGTGTCTATGTGCAATGCATCCTTCTCCTACTGAATCAATCGAAGAATTGAGTCTTCAATACGAAGACGATAGAAATGCAATGATTGCAGTAGCTGATAAAGGCACGTTTATTTAACTTAACACATTTTGAATAAAATGTTATGTACCAAATTCACTTTCTTGCCATTCAATGTAATTTAATACATAGAGATATAGTCCACCAAAGTTAGTAATTTATCACATTGTGTGACTATATACATCCCTCTCAAAAGCTAAAGTTGAGCTAATTTTATTTTATCTCAGTTATGCTTTATTTATAAACCTGTCATGTTGGTAATAATAAGTAAGAGACTGGTCAAATTTACGATGGCTTAGATATTTCAGCTAAATAATTGAGAAAATAAAATCTTAATCAAATAATTCACAATTTCAAGCATCGAAAAAAATCTGAGAATATGTAGCTTACTAAAGATAGTTTTATTTATATTATAGACAATTTCATAACCTATGATGAGTTCTACGATGAGCTTGACAATAGATTGGGAATAGAACAATCGATGAATATGATTTTCTTCGGCCCGCCAAGTTCTTTTTTAAGACTTGATGCCGACTCAATTTTACACATATTAACGCAGACAAAGAAATACATGATACCCATCGGTAGAGCCTTACTAGCATGGGATATTGTAACTGGTAAGGATAACCGTTACAGTTTTAACATGATACCTATTTGATAATGTTAAATAATCTGCAAGATAATGTAATAAAAGAGTTTGACATACGGATAGTTAGAAATATAAGATGTGTATTGTATTATTACAGATGGGAAAACTGCTGCCTTTTTGCAAGGTCGTGAGTATTTAGCTTTTGGATCATTGTTGGATGTAGTGCCAGAAGAGGACTTGTATTATGTTAATTTTGGAGACCCATCAGTTCTCAATCATTTCTCTTCTCATTTCATCAAATTACAACCCAGAAAGGTTTCAGATTTTTAATATTGGTATTATTATATTTTTTTGGCCCCATAATTTGATTTATCTAAGGTTTTCACTTACAGTATGGTATTCTAGCATCAGCCTACAGACGGTATTACGGCGACTCATGGTATCACAACAGTTCCTTTATCAATGAACTCGGCTACCTACTCTGCGGATTCCCACCTTCAGACTTAGCAAAAATATCTCCTACTATTTTCAAAGAAATAAGTTTCGAAACCCTTAGCAAAACTGGAAAATGTAACATAAAACAGGCTAAGGTAATATAAATTGTTATATTATTTGAAATTATTTTTCTTTACATATTTTTTTTCTTTTGTTAGCATGAGTTTAAATATATCTCTTACAATAATTGTAAGTGAAAGTAATGTGTGAGACTTAGCCTAGTTATTTCGCTGTTATTAATTATATTCCGACAGTTTGAGCATTTGTGCGACCTACCTAAATGTTCTTTTGGTTGGTATTGTTCGTCGGGTCATTCAGCAACATCTGTTACTTGAGTTGATTCAAAACTCACTCAAACTATTGTGGATCTTTCCTCAAAATATCATTACAGAATCAACTCACACGATTCTCGCACATTATAGTTATAATATGTCTGGGTATTTAAAAGATACAATGACCTCTGAGTTTGTTTCTTTGCTGAGGAAATGCCAGCTTTCATCTAGTAATTTAAAGATTGACGTGTAAAAGTGTTACATTTTAACCTATTTGCAGAAATAAATATAATTTCATTTCATTCATATCAAATTCCATTAACTTATTAATTTACGATTATTTTAATAATTTGTAATTTTCAGGCTCTTTATTCGATAGCTATTCATCGTGACGCATATGGCGAACCATATAAATGGTCATCGCATGAAATTGGTAGACTTAGTGCTTTATTCACGTGTAAGCATATTCTTAGTATCTATTTGTACATAATATTTTATTTCTAAGCTATACGTAAATCATAATATTTTATGTTGATCGATAGGTATACCTAAAATTGATATTAGCTCGATTCAACTTGAAGCCGTGACAGCTATTAGTCCGGAAGTTTTGACTGCAATGAATAAAGAGAAATTAGAGTACTTCACAAAACAACAAATACTACGAATGAATCCCAAAACTCGAAGGATTTACATTTTGAGAATGCAATTAAAGAATACTTACAACATGAATGACGTAGCAAGACAGAGCGGTAATAGCAGAACAATTAACCAAAATATTGTTTTGCCATTTCCTTTAATTATTGTCACCCTTACATACTTCGATTTTTAAATTACATTGTGTCTGCACTCTCATTGTTATTATTTATTTTATTTTAACAAATTATATTATGAACATTATATCAATTCAATTAAAATTAGTTTTATTTTGTATTAAAATAATAAAAACTTTTTCAACTTTTAGGTTTTGTCATAATATTGTCTTCTGGCAAAAGGAACCGGAAAATACATCAGATTATTAAAAAAAGAATTTGTAGAAAGAAGTTAGAGTAATATTATCAATTTAATTCTATAAATTTAATATTTTACAGTTTAAACTTGTACAGTCTTCATACCTGTATAACTATCGAACGAAACTTTAAAGAATTCTAAAATAATCAAACATAAGCTTGATATGAAAGAAAACACTGTCTGTTCGTTCGTGTTTTAAATTTTAAACTTATTTCCTGATCAAATAACATCTTTTTTCCAATATTGATTTACTTTTCATTTCACAAAATACTAATTAAGGTTAAAATTGATCCTATAATATTTTATTCAAATGGATGTTACTTGAATTCATGTAAGGTGGTCTATTTGAATTATTTGATAACTTAAAATTGAAGGTCACGGGGTCGAGCTTCCATTTTGTTGTCAAATCGCCATTTTCTTTTCCTGAGAAAATTATCGACTCCGTTTGTTTCTTTTATTGGGAATCACGGACAGCGCGTTTACGTCGTAAAATATTTTCGTAAATATTATTGTAAGAAAAATATTTTTATTGGCTAAAAATGCCTCCTGTTAAGCATTATTCGTCTAGTGAAGTGAATCAGTATGAATTATCATCAAGACTTTTATCCCTTACTGAAAATAATACATCGTATACACTTACTCAAATAAATGGCCAAAGGATTTATAGAAAGGCTCCTCATGCATGGAGTGGTCCAGAACCTTCAAGGAATTGTGAGGTAAGTTTGACGTCGTCTAGGTATTGAACGTTCTTTTTCCGTAGGTACCTACTTAGCTAAAGGAACTAACTTTTTGTCCTACCTAACTCGAACAGACCCTCGTCTTGGGCAATCGATTATTCGTAGGTATATAGTACCTATCTTATAGCTCATGAAGCAAAGTCGTAGTGTCTTAGCGCGATTTTGTTTTGCCGACTGTAGGCTAGGTACCTACCTATTTGAAGCACTGCGCTGTCACACACATGGTCTCGTGTATCTATTTGTTGGACCAAGCCCAAAGCATTTCTTATTATAATGATTTCATTGGAAATAGGAGCATAAGCTTGAGCTTGAGGCCTTGAAGCCTAGGACACACTCGCAATACCTAGCAGACCAGCTGCCATCGGCGCTGTTGTATAAAGTTAAATTACGTACTTAATTATAGTTCCAAGTCTGTTTGTACTTAGGTATACAAACGTACAATATCTATATTTATCCTTTACAGTACTGAAAATCACATACAATATATTTTGGCGCCATAGTGGTACCTACCTACTTATTTCATTATAATCTGTATTCAGCCATTGAACTCTGTGCATTGAATACCTAGTAATTATCATGTTTATCTAAATAACCCGTACCATGCTTTTTAAACTCAAATCCTCTTGGGCATAAAATTATAATGCATTTATTGTCCAAATGCGTCGGCATTTGTCCTCTGTTGCCAGCACAGTGGCTCACGTAGAGCCATATTATCCCTAAAGCAAAATAAGCAAGCGCCTAAGGCGCCAGGTTATATTGTAGTACACAGACAGGGGCGCGGCGCCGCGACACTGCGATACTCGCACGCGCGTGCCCAGTGCCCATAGAGCGGCGCTAGGTTTTATCGGCCTCTGGCTCACGAGCTGCAATTCAATTTCGAGATCGAGCTAAATCTTACCTAGTTCACAGGATCTTTTCCGCCAAAAGGATGATTGAGAAAGTTTAATCAACTGCACTGCTTAATTCCATAGTGCAAACAAGACCGTCTTTAGTTTAAGTAGATTTTAGCTTCTCTTGTTCACCTGGGAATTAATTCAACCAGGTCAGGTGCACTAAGGCAAATTTTTATTTAAGCAGTTAGATGAAAAAGCGCTCAGTAGCCGTTGGTGCGGCGCGGTTGTGTGTGCTCAATGCAAATGTTTAAATTTAATTCAACAAATCAATAGCTACATGGTGTAGCATCCCCAAAGCAAAGTAACGCTTAGTTCACATTCACACAATAAAATATGTAGGTATCTAGGTGAGAACTTTTCTCTCTTTTATTCGTTGATAAATATCTCCTGTGCCTCATCAATATGGTGTAGTCTGTCATTGTTAACTAGTGTCGTATAGATTTGTTTTTATTATTATAGTAGGTGGAGCAATGGACAACTACCGAACGAGGGACTTGCGTTCGATTACCGGGGCCCAAAACGAAGCTTCGCGTTAACGATCAATATAATATTGGGGGCAATATTTTGTGCAACATGTTGCGTGTCTAATGTTACCCAGGAGAGTCGCGGAGAACCTAACGGGTAACCGGGGCTCCGGCTCGACGTGCAGGAGAAGGAACGGGGTGGTTTTTAGTCAGTAAGAGTCTGACACTCCCTCCCGCCTCACCCAGGCGGGGGCAGTCATTCGATGATTTTCCCCCTTAAAAAAAAAAAAAAAAAAAATGTTACCCAGGAGGCCTTATGTAGTTAAGATGAGCGAATCTAGTGGCATATTTATAGCCTCGTATTGTATCGTACAGCAATATTGAGTTGACACGAAACATGTTCTACAAGGTTACACAGACAATCATCGCGCAACGTCTTATGGGATAAGTCTGCATATCAACAGACGGATCACCTGATGCTAAGCAGTCGGCGCCACCCATAACACTTGAAACACCAAAGGAAACAGCGTTGCCAGCCTTTTGCGGCGGCGTCGTCATGTGTATGCAGTTTTCTGTGACGCCGTGGTAGAACTCCGGCCGAACTGGTCCATTCGAAGAAGAAGCATGGCTCTCCTAGACTTAAACCTATTTACGTGTAAAAAGCTATAACATTTCAGGTTTTTAGCAGATAGCAGATGCCTCAAAAATCATTGTGTTACTATTAGTCATGTTTTGTGCGCCTTTAACTTTGACTAAGCAAATTGTTGCTTTCCGTATTAATTAATACTCTTAATAAACCACAGGTGTTTATTGGACGAATCCCTCATGACTGTTTCGAAGACACTTTGGTGCCGTTGTTCCGTCAAGCTGGTGAGCTGTTTGAGTTTCGACTCATGATCAACTTCTCCGGCTGGAATAGAGGGTAAATACAAGTAGAAATAAATAAAAGGCTTTTGATTATTTTATTAATTACACACGAAAATAATGTTTGTCTAATTTTGTCCTTGTTCAGGTATGCCTTCGCGATGTACACAACTGATGCAGAAGCAAGCAATGCTATTCGTATGTTTAACAACTACATGATAAGACCTTCTTGGCAACTGGGTGAGCGATAATCTTACATTTCTGTCTTATATTTTTCTTGAGAATCATTAATCAAAATTAATATTTCTTTAGGTGTCTGTCCATCAATTAATAATTGCCGTATATTCATATCGCGTATACCACCGACTACGCCATCTGCGGAGATTATCCGCTTGTTATACGCACTGACGGACGAAGTGCAAGAAGTGCGTATCCGTCGGTCGATTGCTTCGTGCGCAGCAATTGTTGAGTACAAGTCTCACCGCGGTGCTGCTATGGCCAGGAAGGCCTTGGTTGCTGCCGCTGCTGCCGCTTGGGGATGTGGCGCTAGACCTGCTGTAGACTGGTCACTCCCGCAGTCCCCGCAACTGCTCAAACAATATCGAGAGGTATTTTATTTCTACTACTAAATTTTACCTACGGATATTAAAGATTTGCCTGTAATACTTCAATTATTTTAAGGTGGGACGTTGGACTCCTGAACGTGGAGTGGAGTTGACTCGGGCACCTGAAGAACCCGCAACTACATCGCCACCGCCTGCCGCGCCCTCTTATACGCTCGAACCATGGTCTCAAGCACGTCGTCTGCGCATGATTCACGAAGCCCAACGAAGTGCCGCTGCTGCTGCTGAGTAAGTTTTTGTTAAATCATCATGTCATTACCATAAACACTGAATAAAAGAACTGTTGGAAATTTCAAGTTTCCTTGTTGTAACAGGTGGTCAAACCGTATTAATAACGGCATGGAGTCTCTGGTTTCGTCGATGACTTCCCTAGGTTTCGGAGGTGGGCTTGGGCTAGCTGGTCGTGAGGCTGGTGTTTGGGCGCCCCCTGGAGCTCCTGGAACTGGTCTGGGTGCTCCTCGCATGCCCACGCCACCGCAACCGCGTGACTTTAATCCATGGACTGCGCGCCATCCACTGCAGGAGTTCATCACTCCCGGCAAAGATAGCCAGTGAGTGCATGCGCTATTTGTTCAAAACGGGACAGTTTAACAATCGTATTGATAAATGATTAGTGGCCGTTGACGTTGAATTACAGCAGTTCGCCACGAATAAAAAATTCGTAAATGATGTCTAAGTATTAACGAAATATACATCAATGAAAAACTAATTATTTTAAAGGAATCCCAAATACTAGCCATGTTTACCCGTCTCTTAATAACTTTCATCATGACAATCAATACACGCGCCGTGTAACTGTCCCGTTTCCCCGTTTTCGTTTTAAGTTTTGTTGATGTTGATTAATTTATTGCATGATTAAGGGTGCACAATGTTTGTCTCGTTAGCATGTTGCACTTAAAGTGAGTTTGTTGGAGTGTGGGAGATACAGCACTTTTTGTAGCAAAGCTTTCTGTACGAAGTGTATTTTCGAAAGCATGTTGAGTTCGTCAAGTTGATACGGGACTCAATTTTTTTATTCTAATACTTATCTCCTCGCGGCTAATTTTCTGCGGTGCAATTTAGTTACCTGCTTTGGAAACTACACTAATAATTCAGCTTTGGGAGTGGTGTGCGCTTTTTTAGCTTTTCCGACATAAACTGGTATAAAATGTACTGAAATGAATATCTAAACAGTTACCATTCAGTCATTGTTACACTTTGCTAAGCAAAAATGTTCAATCGTGTTTACAAAATATTGCTTTTACAACATTACTAATGGCAGAAAAGCCAATGAATACACAATAAAGTATTTATTTGGTTTCTCGCTTTTATTCCTTTACAATGTTTTATAAAACGGGACAAATCAAATAGCCATTATATTAGTACAATTCTTTAGAATTCTGAATGGTATAATGTTTATGTATTCGACGTCCATTTCAGTTGCAGACTATGGCATGCATACTCGTTTATATACCTTATTTAATTTTTATTATTGCCAGAATCAATTATGATCAAATTTGAAAACAGTATAATTAACCAATGAATAGTAATGAATGTGTTCTTATTGCCCTTGTAAGTTATGTTAGTATGTGTTGCCCTCATGTTTTATTATAGCTCTGTGTTGTGATCGTCTATCTCTTGCACTCCAGGTAAGGCATAAGAGAGGTAAATTTAAAAATTTTAATTTTAGACATTATTTTAATTTAATCCTAAATGTATTTTAATTAAGAATCCAATTGAACGGCATAATTATTTATGTATTAATTAAAATTTGAAGCTTTTTTAAGGCAGCATCGGTAGGTATATTTTAAGCATGAGTCTACAATATTGTTTAAATGTTATAGATAATATGAATTAAGGGCAACTGCGGGCCGTCGCGTCGTCGTCGACGGCCGCGTTAGGATTATTGCACTACTGGCAATCTGCATTTTTTGATGTTTTTTCAACGAAATAAATGTTCATGTTATTGTACTATTTCTGTGTATGAATAAGTCTTATTTAAAATCAGGTTTTAAGTAAATCAATTTGGAACTGTTTTCTCAGCAATGAATAAACTCAGCATTATGAAATTATCTATATGCGATTAACAAAATCTGAACATTTTGTAACGAGACCATATGAATTTATCTCTCGATGTTTTATGAGATTTTTAAATAATATTGCATGCCAGTATTGATTAATAAATTTAAGTATAATGGTTTAATGTCCTCGCTGTTTTATTTCGTTGCTTGCTTTCCTTCTTGTATTGCATTATTTTTGCTTGATATCTTTTTGCTTAAACTTACGTGTAATCTTTTACATTGTATTGGTTTGTCTACTGCGCTATCAGCTCTCTATGTAATGGTATCGCAGCTTCAGTAACGCTACTGTGAAAGATAAGCTGCAGGTGCGCAGTTGAGCCTTGCACGAGACGACCGCAGCTCGCGCGCCCACACCGAGCCGCTTAAGTTTTCCTTCAATGTCACTCAATCAGACGCACCGTGAAAATGGTCGCTAGCCTCAAACAAAACACGGCGGTCGCGTCGCGCGGATGTCTGCTTGTAAACTATGAGTGTATTATGTCACTCGCGTAACTCTGTTCGAGTGACTCGATAATAGTGAGACGTGTGTGTTTAGTGCAAGCCACAGCTGCCGGCCGGACCATGGCGGTCTGCGACAAGTGGGTCGCGCTGAAGATAGTCGAGTTCGTAAGTAACTTAACATATTGCAACACGATCGGTGATGCAAGCCTCTTTGATTTGGTAACTTGTTAGTGAGCACGCTTATTGGATGTGTATTGGTCGCTAGTAGACTTTGAATTAAGTTTTTGTAATGGCTTTTTATTTGTATTATAATTTATCATTAGTATTTTGATTATAATTGAAACGTTTTTGTTGAGTAGACAAAAATCTACTCTGTTGTGGTGAAATAAGAACTTATTTTTGTCTGTCGCGTTGTGAAAAGTAGTAAAAATCTTATTAATTACTAGAGTGGGAGAGTTTTTAAGAAACTTAGGACTGCTAGCTTCTAATCAGCAGGTACTGAGAAAAGGCAATAAGGCCTATATCCGTTTAGTTGGTAATCGCCCGGATATTTCATAAATACAGGTAATTAATATTCATAACACGTCAAGTTAGGTTCGCAGTGATAAAGCTCGTCCGATAACAATTTTACTTTCACGTTTAACCTGCAGCCTTATCATAGTCACAACTGTTTTACAACACCACCGGTAGATAGGCAAACATGCTTAGTCGGTCAGAGAAAATTCTTGGAAGGTAGGTAGTTGCATAACGAAGTATCAAGCGTTTACTAACTACAGTATTCGATAAATCACATAATAAGCACATAATCAGTTAGCGACTGAATCTGGTATTAGAATGATTTTACTACAAAGGCGGTCTATTATTGTTCTTGATAAGGTTTTTAATCCACACGTCTTAAGTGTTTAAAAGATTCAACCATTAATTTTGGGCTTATTACAGACGGAATTTTTGTTTGTTGTCAATACGTACCTATCATATAGACACCCAAGCTAAAATAAAACTTGTTGCGCTATGCTTATGGCTAAGTATAACAAACAATAGAGACCTCGAATACTTACCTTTAAATATGAATGAGGCTGCGAACGAGTATTCAATTCTGGTTCAAACATTTCTTACAGTCATCTGACCTTTCTGGAGCTTTTGTTGTGTTAATGCGATCACCGTTTTAGGAGGTTAATTTGTTATCAAAAGTTGAAAAGTATTTTGGCAAGAAGACAAATTGACAATATTGTCATGAGTCATTATACTCGTGTGTCTACTTAAAATAAGTATAATTTATGAATTAGATTCGTTGTTCTACAAAAGTACTATTTAAAGACAGTCTACATTTTTTTTAATTGACTTAGGTACGTGCGTTTTTATCATAATTTATTAAATACAAAACGTGACTAGAACATCTTTTCTCTATGAAGTAGCTAAATTTTAGAACACTTGTAAAGAAAAATTGCAAACATTTAATGTGTCTATCTAACCCCACTTAAAGTATTTACTTGTTTATCAAAATTCCCAGATTGTAATTTTTTACAAAGAGACTTGGGGCTTTAACTGCGGGAAAAAGATAAACGGTTGACGCTACCAGTAAACAATAAGACAATAGCTAGGATTTACTGGTGTCAGCTTTTAATGCATTTAACTTCTATGTGTACCTAACTATTTACCTACATGCATCCATCTGCATGTAGGTAAATAGTACTTTTATATTTAAAATACGTAATTATATACCTTATGTGGGTAGAGCACTAACTGGGATACATAATATGCTACAAAATATTTTGTTGGTAAAAACGCCAAAAATACAATAAAATAAAAAATAATAACAAACTATAAAAATGTTGTCTCAGTGAAACAGCTGTACCAATCAGTTCTCAGTTACCAATAATTACGCCGTAATTACCGTCTTGGGCGCGACTAGTTCAATGTCTAATAATTATTATTGTAATCTGATGAAATAATACTTGTTTTACTACATTACATAGGACAATATTCTGAGTTATTCGATCCCGACAATAAATAATTTAATATGAGTATGTCTGGTCAGTATTTTCTGCTGACTCGCAAGACGTGGTTTGCAGGGAAGAATTAATGTTTGTTTTGATAGTCTCTTAGCTTCCTGTGACACAAAGACGCAGGCTCCTAGCTCATTAACTGAGTGTAAGCGTCCTTGCATGAGCTAACACGTATCTTCTATCTTACCTATGATCTGCATAAGCATTTGGAATAATACTGACCACCGCAAAAGTAGTAGAAACTTGAATGTAGTTGATAAAAAGAACGGCTTCCATAAACTAACATCTAACTAGCCCCTGAACCTTGATACATCGTAAACATATCTTATAATCTTATACTTTAATTTTTAAAGCTGAGCAGTTTGTTTGTTTACTTGAACGCGCTAATCTCCGGAACTAATTTTTCGATTTCAATAATATGCTATCACGCTACGGCCTATAGGACCCTAGCAGAGCTAGTGAAACCGCGCAGAAGTAGCAAGTTACTTCATATACATTGATACTTACTAAAATATAAATATTAGGTAGGTACGTAAATAGAGACAAATTCTTAACTCAAATAATTAAGAACTAATCGGACTTAGGTACCTACCTAATTGCTTAATCAATTTAGAGTTGTCTGTATTTGTGTCAATGCACTTTTAATTGTTGTATAGGTCTAACGCCGCGCCGGCCCATCAAATATAAAAAAGGTACCTGTCTGTACACATGAGATTCCACTCGTGAATCTCATGTCCTGTCTGCGTGTCCTGTATTTGAATTGGGACAGAATGTAATTGTATCCAAAATAAAATGGTGCAAGTTAGTTGATTAAACTGTTAAATATTATACATCCTAAAATCTATTTCGGTTTCGCCCCGAAGTAAAATGGTTCTGTTTTGGTAATAGTTATGCAAAAAAAAATTAGGTAATGTTTTAAAGCAAAAAATATTTGGTGAACCATTTGCAAAAAGCAAACTTTGAAAGCGCATACGAATTAATGGTAGGTACATTATCAAAACAGACGGCCTGAAATTCTTGAAGAGGTATTCTCTTCGGGATGCACGTGCGAAGCTAATAGTGCGTACAAAAGTCTAGTGTTTCATGTGCGTATTTCCAATTTTTTTTTATTTTACTTTATAGATACTTACATCGAAAGTACAATTTATGGCAAGTTGTTTTGCTGTTCAATAGAGATAATTGTTGTCCTCCTAAGTACTTACTCGAACCTTAATCAAGTCCCACGAGGATAAATAAATATGCAACTAATAAATGAAAAATTTGAAACATCTGTCAACTGAAACTGAGCTTTTGCGCAG